AAAAATAAATTTTTTAATATATAAACGGACTAATGCGCCTAGGAGCGCATTTGCCCGCATTAGGCGCGCCTTTTAGTTGGAAAACGCATTTTTCCCGTATTTCCCGAATTCGACGCGTTTTGGTCGCGCATCACTCCTAGGCGCGCCTAGGTGGCGCATTTTCCCCTTTTTTAGAACAATGTGTATAATATACTTAGTGTTGTGTATGTATCAATCACGTATAATATACTTTTACGTTTTATGAAAGATGAGTGTTAGGTATGCAACTTTTTCCCGTCGTTTTCAAATTTTAACGAAATTATTGCAGAACGGATGAAAAAAAGAAGTTGGAATTTCAGAGTGGACAATATTGAATAACAGTGAAAAGGAGTCATGTCAAATTTCGTAACGCATCTTTCGAATTAAAAAATCGGAAAAGGCTGAGTTCGAAATAATTAGTCAAAAATGGTTACTTGAATTAATTGACTTAATCGTATTATGGCATTACATTTTTCAATTTAGTTTGGGGCTATGTTCTTCACCCATTCATTAAGTTTGGGTATCGTTTCGAAGAATTATTGATAAACTTCATATTGTGTCTTTCTGATTGAAAAAATCGTTAAGTGATTAGTTCAAAATAACAAGCCTAAACTCACTTCTAGAATTAGGTTTAACAATCTGATTTTGTTTCATTTTTAGATGTCGATTTAATTTAAATTCTATTTTAAAGTTGACATGTCTCAGTCATATAATACCATATTAAGCCCTAAGTAATTATTTTTATGAAAAAAAAAGTTAAAAAAAAAAAATCAGAAAACTTTGTGGGTCCACCCTAAGCTCCATTCTTACTTTTGGACAAGTAGAATAGATTAGGGCCGATTGTATTTTCTATAAACATGTTTGAGAATATCTTGTATGATACAAAAAGACGACTTGAATGTGTACGATAAAATGTCATCAAATTCCTTAGAAAGTTGGTTGAGAGTGAACAAAAGTAATTGAATTGCGTACAAGAGTTGGCTCAAAAGTCAAAAGAATAAAAGATCCAGATACGAGGTTATCGAATTTCTCGAAGAGTTAGTCAAGAGGAAACAAGAGCTATTGAATTAAGTACCAAGATTTTGCCCGCGAGAATAAGGAGATTGAGTTATGAAGAGATCGCGGAAAGTACTATATGATGATTGACAGTATTAAATACATTTAAAAATTTTGTAAGGGAAATAATATCTTGCAAATTTCATGACTAATTTACTGATGATATCTAAGATTTACTTTTTCTTAAATAGTAATTTGTTCATTCAAAAAGTAATTTTGAAAATTATAAGCATGTTTGATTAAGCTTAAAAAAGATAACCTTAGTTGGCAAAACTTAAAATGTGTAACTTATAAGCTAACACGTATATTTCAAAAATCAAATTTTTTTTAATGAAGGTAAGTGAAAATAAATAATCTACTTATTTCGATACTATTTTTGAGTCGAATTTTTTCATTCAAATCATTTTATTTCCAATCGAGAAAGTTGGTGACCTAATAATTGGAGAGNTGACAATCGAATCTATGATAAATGACGACACGGTGTATAGGTGAGAGTTTTCTTTGTATGGATGTTTGCTTTTGAAGTAATGTAAAAGGCTATATTTTTCAGAAGTGCGCCGAGTAACTCTTTTACATTAAAAAAAAGGGAAAATAAAAGTAAATTATTAAGTGCTTATTATCCAAAATATGTGAAAAAGTGGAATAAGTTGTTAATTAGTAAAAAGTAATGCTACATGTATATACACACTTTCACACAATCTTTTACACATCTCTCACATGGAGGGGGTCCACGATTATTTTATTATGTGTGGGCCTCCCTCCATGTGAGGTGGGTGTAAAAAATTGTGTACACGCTGATTCAAAAAAAAAAGATTGTGTACACTTAGCATTATTCATTAGTAAAATGTAGGATAAAAAAGTGTAGTTGATTAGTTTAGATTATAATTTAAAGTTTGCAAATATGCATTGAGAGCCTGTTTGAGCCCTATTTTTTGTCTAAAATATATTTTAGGATAACATTTTGATAGAAAATGTATGGTTAAAAAATAAAAAATAAAAATTTGAGTTTGTATGTAATATTATTTTATTGATGAATATCTAATAAAAAATAAAAAAGAAAAATATATTTTAAAAATAATAGGGACCAAACATGAACTAAAATGTAATGGTCGCTCTTAAAAGTAAGTTAAGTAACTTCACTTTCTTTAATTTTAGCCAAACATAATTTATCAAAACAGGCTCGCACAGACATCCTAGTCAGTAGGACCTGCTTACGCGGTTTACCTACTCTTTCCTCTACGCGTTCTCTCTCTCCACATGTCACTGTATTTATTCATTTCTACTTATATATGCCACTCCAAAAAGAAGTCGTATCTGAAACCAAAAGCAAGACACGATAGAATATAAAGAGCTAGTTGAATTCAGCATAAACCAGCATCCACCAACTGGATTAAAAACCCGAAAAGGACCGGTTTTTTTTCTGTTTCTCTCTGCAGACATACGTTATCCAAACAACTCAAAGTAACAGTCACCACTATATATTCACACACTATTAATATGAATTCTTGAATGGAATTCAATTCCATTGGCTTCACTTTGCTTATTTCTAAAGAACCTCGTATTACTCTGCAAACTTTAACTTGTAGAGAAAAATATATTTTTAATATATACATTATTACATTTTAAGAAACCCACTTACCTTTGGGTTTTTCTTAATTATTTTAATCCTTTCTTCTTTTTTGCTTTTTCTAATTGGGTGTTTCTTTCTAAAAGTGCTTTTCCCAATGTGGGAATTTCGGGTCAGTCTCGGTGTTCCAAGACTCAATTTTTAGCTCAAAGTTGGCATTTTTTCGATCATTTTGTATTTCAAGTTGAATCTTCAGGTGGGTTTTGTGTATTTTGAAGAGTTCCATTTTTATTTTATTTTTTAAAGATGGATATTCCAGTTGTTTACCCGAGTTAAGCATAAGAATCTTGAGGTTTCTTTTTTTCACAAAAGTTGCTTTTTTAAGCCATTCCAGTTGTTTTTATGCATTGCAAAGTTGAATCTGAGGTGGGTTTTGGTGATTTGATATTTTTTCTCAAAAAAGTTGGTTTTTGATATTTTGTGAGTGGTAATGGACACCGGAGGGAGGCTTATTGCTGGCTCTCACAATAGAAATGAGTTCATTCTCATCAATGCTGATGAAATTGGAAGGGTAAGTCTCTTTAATAATTTCAGTTATTTTTCTTCAAATTTCAGTTTTATAGACATCAATTCTGCCCCCCATACTAAGGAGCTTTTTTTTCCTCATTATTTTTCCTGGGATTAATCAGTCATTCAACTAAATTAGGAGTTTCTTATAATAGTAGAAAATGCTATATGTATTTCTGCATTTGAATTCTGCTTTTTTGAATTTGAGAGGGGGGTACAAAAATGTCTAGTTTTCTTATTTTGGTCACTTGATTGAATACTTGGCTCGAGCTTTGTAAAAGGAAGAATGTTTTTATGCTTTGTATTTAATATATAGTGATTTGTGCATGTGATATTGATTTAATTTTCCAAAAATCTTCAAGTTCATTTTGGCTTCAACTCTAGCTCTAAAAATTTTCTGATATTTTTCACATGTTTTATAAATACTTGTGGGAGTCTATTAAAGTGATTATGTGAACTGTGAAGTGAATGAATTGAAATGCTATTGTACTGCGTCCTCGTGTGAAGAACAGAAAGAAGCCCAGTATTTTGTTGGTGAAATATTTACCTTTATGATCTGTTTGGACAATACAATGGCCCAGATTTTAATTTATTTTCTTCGTTTAATACTATTGTACTAGAAAAGATTGGACAATAGAATAGCCAAGAAAATAGATTTTTAACTTATTTTTGTGTTTACTATTGTCTAATATTATGTAGTCCACCTAACCAAATGCACAATTGTTGTTTAGGAGTTAGGTCTTAAACAAATTGTCGAATGAAAAATGGGAATAAATTGCAATGTTAAATTGGAGGTACATAGGTTTGCTGTCAATTCAGTCCAGATGTTACTTTCTCTTCTGGGTTCTCATTTGATAAGATTGAGAACAAAGTTCATTAGAAATTTATTCCCACGAGGACCGTGTTATTAAGTACCGAAATTAACGATCATAACTTTATTTTAACAACTAATTTGAAAATAGAGTATTTTCTAATTAAATTAATGATTGAAGTATGCTAAATTAAACATTCTACGTTGAGTGTTGGACTTTTTGATTTTTAACTTTAATTCAATGAATAAAAGTGTTGGGGCTCACGATTTTACTTAATTTACCCCCTTGAATCTCGCTTCTCAAGTTCAATTCCAAAGTTTGTATTCATTGAATTCACTAATTTAATTAATTTACCTCGCTTGAGTTTGAATCAATCAAATCTAGCTAATTAACTCACTATATCTCCATGTGAATCTAAATAAGCCTTACTTATTCGCATTAAATCACCTAGGAATTCAATTAAAGACCGCAGAACTAGTAAAGGTGTATTTCTACCTTCTACCAAATCGTCGGATCACTATGTGGTCTAGATTAATAACTCACATCTTGGTATGTTAAATCCACAAATTAGAAATATTGGCCAGATATTCCCATGCACTAATAGAAGAAGCAACACTCATAGAGAAGCAAAAGCAGCACTTTAATAAATTTAAAACGCAAAACTTGAGACTCGAATTTAAAGTTAAAAATTATGTTGCATTGTTCATCCCTACCAAAAGTTTAGCTATTCACCATAGAAGAAGAAAACAGTTTAAAGAAGTAAATACATTATCTGGTTTTAAAGGAAAATAGGACAACGATGAATATCTTGCATCCAAGAATTTGCCTTCTTTTATCATGTCTCAATTCTACATGTTTCTCCTCCAAATGTGCTCTATGATATGGTATGAAAAATTCCATTTTCTTGACCTAATTTTGTCCTTTATATAGTCCTTAATTGCCCAGAAATTCGTGTCAAGAAGAATACTGAAAGTGCTCCTATTTACTAGTCCAAAAAAAAAAAATAAAAGAGGCCTTAGTGGCCACCCGTTTAGCTTTGGCTGCCATACCTCAAAATAATTTTTTATCTCCACAACTTCAAATTATGTTCCTTTTTTGTTGAATTCCAAGTTTAGGGTGTATTTGGTGGATATTATTGAAGAAATAATGTATTTTAAATAGTAATATGACGGGAAATATGTTGTTAAAAAGTAATGAAAAGTTATTGATGTGAAGGAAAATATTATTTTATTGAAAAATGTGTAGTTGAAAATGAGTTTTGAATGAATGTATTTTAAACGAATGTGTGTCAGGGGCCTAATTATTTTTCGAATGGTATATCATTTGTTCTGTGGAGATCTGTTTACCAAAAATTGTGCACTAATCTCCTTGCATGCTCTACATGTAGGTTCCTTGTTCTGCATCTTTTGGACCTTTTATGCTCCGAATCATATTCTTTTGCACCATTCATCTTCGAATTTGAGTTATAGACAAAATATTTACACTAATATGTATGGAATACGTGCAAACAATCAATATTAAGCATATTTAAGAGCCTAGATAAGTGTGTAAAACACACTTAGCAATGATTTTTATGAATTATGCGTTAATAGTTCGAGGCTAACAAATATGTACTCTTTGTGTTCGTGATTCTCTAGATCAAGTCTGTTCAAGAACTGAGTGGACAAATATGCCAAATTTGTGGGGACGAAGTGGAGATAACTATAAATGGGGAGCCCTTTGTTGCGTGCAACGAATGTGGTTTCCCGGTTTGCAGGACTTGCTATGAGTATGAGAGAAGAGAGGGATACCAGGCTTGTCCTCAGTGCAAAACCCGATACAAGCGCATCAAAGGCAAGTTTTTTATATTATGTTTCATTCTAATGGTTGGTGTAAGCTAACTGCACTAGGTGAATAAGCAGCTGATAGATGTATGTGAAATGCAGGTAGCCCTAGAGTCGAGGGTGATGAGGAAGAGGATGACATTGATGATTTGGAAGATGAGTTTGATTATGAGGATATTGAGGCTTTGGGCCTTACACAAAGTGCAGGGGTGATTCCCATTGTACGTGATTGTCATGTTGGTTCATCTGGATCAGCCCCAGGCTCAAGACATGATTTTTATTCCCAGGGTCTTGAAATCCCTCTGTTGACATATGGTGAGGAGGTAATCAAGAGGGTTCTCTCTCTGCCCCTCCCCCTCTAAATAAACTCGTTATGCAACTTAGATTTTGAGTTCTTTGTCTTCTAACTACTTTCAGGACAATCAGATTTCTTCTGATCAACATGTTATCATAGTACCACCGTCTTCCAGTCATGGCAATGGGATTCATCCATCTCCTTCTGGGACTTCAGCGCCTTGTAAGTCATTTTGCTCCGTATAGCTTTCCTCATCCTAGATTAATTTTAACTTTGCATGCAAGGGAGATGAAATGTATACTTTTGATGTCCTAGTACAATCAAGGCCTCTGGTTGCCGACAAAGATATTGCTCAATATGGATATGGAAGTGTTGCATGGAAGGATCGAATGGAGGAGTGGAAGAAGAGGCAAAGTGGAAAACTTCAGGTGGTCAAGCATCAAGGAGATAATGCTGGTGAAGACTTGGATGGGAATGAATTGGATGCAGACTTGCCTATGTAAGTGATTCGTGCACGCTGTGCAATTGCTTTATTATTGTTTACAATTTGAGGCATGATGTGCTTTGTTGCTCTCACTTCTGTTTTGTTTTCATATGGAAATCCCACTATAAAATTCTTAATTCTGAGACTGGAAATCAAGATCTGCAAGATGAATTATCTTGTCGCATTATCATTTATAGTATCTTGAAATGAATTGTATGCCATTCTTGTTTTTATTAACTGGAAATCTCTCAACAGGATGGATGAAGGAAGACAGCCGCTGTCGAGGAAATTGCCCATTGCTTCGAGCAAGATAAGTCCATACAGATTGATAATTATCCTCCGCCTTGTGGTTCTTGGCTTCTTTTTCCACTATAGGGTTCTCCATCCAGTTCATGACGCATTTGGCTTGTGGCTGACATCAGTTATTTGTGAAATATGGTTTGCTGTTTCGTGGATACTTGATCAGTTTCCAAAATGGTATCCAATTGAGCGAGAAACGTACCTTGATCGGTTGTCGCTTAGGTACATAAGCATTATAAACACAAAACTCAATTTTTTCGAATTTCTCAAATATGAGAATGGTGATGAGCATGTTTGGCTAAGCTTAGAAGCAAGTTAAGCAAACCTGTAGTCGATTTTTGTTTCAGATCGTGTTTTGACTAGTTACTTCTTTCCTACTTAAGTGAAAATTAATTGTAACAACACAAGGGACTAATTTAAAAACAGTTAACTTGCTTATTTCTAATTTTAACTAGAGTCTAAACAAACTTATTTACTTATATATGTCTTAAGCTTAGCAAAACATGTTCAATATGAACTCAAACCGGCAGATCTAGGAGCTAAGTTTAAATAGTTTACTTACAAATGAATAGTGTTAAACTATGTAAAGAAAATAAGTTACTTATCCTAGAAGGAAGGTAAGAGTTATTTTCAAATTAATAATCTTTTTTACTTAGAAAAAATTATTTACCTAAACATTTTTTTGAACAAAAATTTACTGAGAAGTAACTTTGAATTATTCTTAAGCTTTGTCAAACATCCTTAAGGATGTGAAATATGATTGATTTGTCTTGTTTCTTTGATGACACCATTGCTTTTCCTTTTTAGGTACGAGAAAGAAGGAAGGCCATCGGAGTTAGCTGACATGGACGTTTTTGTCAGCACAGTTGATCCCATGAAAGAACCTCCATTGATTACTGCAAACACGGTTCTTTCCATCCTTGCAGTGGATTATCCGGTTGAAAAAGTTGCGTGCTATGTGTCAGATGATGGTGCAGCCATGCTTACTTTTGAAGCACTTTCGGAGACATCTGAATTTGCTCGGAAATGGGTTCCCTTCTGCAAGAAGTTCGATATCGAACCACGGGCACCAGAATGGTATTTTTCTGAGAAGATGGACTATCTGAAAAACAAAGTCCATACAGCATTTGTGAGGGAAAGGCGTGCAATGAAGGTCTGCCACTTGTATATTTCTCCTGTTTTATGAATGAAATACACATACGCACACAATGAAAGAAAAATACATACATAGCTTTCTGTGAGTGTGTGAGAGAGAGATTATGAGCATATTTGGCTAAGCTTAAGTTACTTTAATTAAATAAGTAAGTTTTAAAATAAATAACTCTTGTGTTGATCGAAGTTGGAAGTAAGGAACTTATTTTGTGAGTAAGATAAAGAGTTACTTTCAAATTAGGGAACATTTTTTTATTTGAATGTAAGTAAAAGTAAGTTACCAAACATGTTTGGAAACAAAAAGTTACTTTTCTCAAACTGCCAAACCTGTTCTATATGAACTTAATACTCCCTAATCAACTGGAGATGAATACCCAATTTTTCATGGTGTTATTTGTTTGCTCTGATACAGAGAGAATATGAAGAGTTCAAAGTTAGGATCAATCGTCTGGTGGCAACGGCACAAAAGGTTCCTGAGGAAGGTTGGACAATGCAGGACGGAACACCTTGGCCAGGAAACAATGTTCGTGACCATCCTGGAATGATCCAGGTGAGAAATGCTGTTCTCATGAATAATGCTTCTGCCATTATTGGACATATTTTTTCAATGTCCAATTTTAGTGCATCTATAAAGATTTTCCATATCAGGAGTTGAGTAGGATTGTTTTGAATGTTTTAATATTGAGATTCTAGAAACAATTTCAGAATCGTGTATCCTACAAGTGCATGCTTGATCACATTATTGGATAGGATTGGACTAGATTAAGCTTATTTTTCTTCATTAATGCCATCCAGTACTATCCTATCCTCCCCATCTAATGTGCCTCAAGAAAAAGAAAAATAAATATATATAATATATCAAGGTAACAAAGCTGTTCGTCATACTATCTATGATGTTAGGCTTGAAAACGAACGAGAATATTATTGTAGAGTTAAACAATTTCAAAGGACTCGATAAAAGTAGGGTCTATTTAAGGATTTGGATCAATGTTTTTCATTTAGAAATTAGGATTGTAGGTTTGTTAGGTTCGAACCGGATTTTAACTACCACTATATGTATTACAAAAATCCAACAACTTGGCTGTTGCTGTTTTCTTTCGTTTTTTTCATTTTAAATATTTGTCCGTGTGAATACAGTGACTTGTTATGTCCAATAGCAAGCATGCACAGCAGCTGTGGTATAAATAATTTTGGTTTCATGTTTAATTTGTTCATTTTATGGTTGTATTTGTTTAAATTTTTGTACATGGTACAGGTATTCCTTGGTCATGATGGTGTTCATGATGTTGAAGGAAATGAATTGCCTCGTCTGGTTTATGTTTCCCGTGAAAAAAGACCTGGTTTTGATCACCACAAAAAGGCTGGAGCCATGAATGCACTGGTAAAACTGAATACCAGAATTCTTTCTAAATCCCCCACCCCTCGAAAAAAAAAACACTTACACAAACACATCAGCAAATCCAGAAAAATTCAATGAAATCCTAGGTTTCTTTGCTGTGAACTTTTAGGTGCGGGTTTCGGCAGTTCTATCAAATGCTCCTTTCCTTCTGAATGTTGACTGTGATCACTACATAAATAACAGCAAGGCACTGAGGGAAGCTATGTGTTTTATGATGGATCCCACTTCAGGAAAGAGAGTCTGCTACGTGCAATTTCCTCAAAGATTCGACGGGATTGATTGTCATGATAGATACTCAAATCGAAATGTTGTGTTCTTTGATGTATGTATATTTCTCTTGTTGCATTGGCTAGATTTGCTTTCTAACTGTCATGCAGAAGCTTACTTTAGCTATTTTTAACAGATCAATATGAAGGGTTTGGATGGTTTACAAGGACCAATCTATGTTGGAACAGGGTGCATCTTTAGACGGCAAGCTCTTTATGGATATGATGCTCCTGTCAAGAAGAAGCCGCCTAGCAAGACCTGTAACTGCTTGCCAAAGTGGTTCTGTTCATGTTGTGGGTCTAGAAAGACCAAGAAGGGAAAAACAAAGAAAGACAAGAAGAAAAAACTAAAGCACAGAGAAGCATCAAAGCAGATATATGCACTCGAAACCATTGAAGAAGGAATTGAAGGTAAAATATTTATTTTAGTAAAACTAAATAAATAAATAATAATAAAATTAGAAGAAAGCAATGGCCTGATAGATCTACAGAACTCAGAGTATATAACCTTTCCCCTGCAGAGACGAACTCTGGAAACCCATCTCGTGTCCCCCAAGAAAAACTCGAGAAGAGGTTCGGCCAATCACCTGCATTCGTGGCATCGACTCTACAAGACAATGGTGGTGTTCCTAAGGACGCTAGCTCCGCAACATTTCTGAAAGAGGCCATTCATGTCATCAGCTGTGGTTATGAAGATAAGAGTGAATGGGGAAAGGAGGTAAGTTGTTTGGCACATGTTTGGTACACCATGCTGAAGATGCAGAGGATTGGATATTATTATAAACGAGTTTTTATCTTCTTTTTCTTTCTTAATATTGTTCAATACTATCCAATCTTCTGAATCTTACCAAGCAAGCCACGAGGGTTTAAATTCTCAGCACCATAATATATCTGTTACCTTGTGACCTTCCTGAGTATCAAATGCTGGATCAGGTTGGATGGATATATGGCTCTGTTACGGAAGATATCTTGACGGGATTCAAGATGCATTGCCATGGCTGGCGGTCAGTGTACTGCATCCCTAAAAGGCCGGCATTCAAAGGTTCGGCTCCCATCAACCTCTCGGATCGGCTTCACCAGGTTCTTAGATGGGCTCTTGGATCAGTCGAGATATTTTTTAGCAAACACTGTCCCATCTGGTACGGATATGGAGGTGGATTGAAGTCGTTGGAAAGGTTTTCCTATATAAATTCAGTCGTATATCCGTGGACTTCTATTCCTTTGATTGTATACTGTACATTGCCAGCCATCTGCCTTCTTACAGGGAAATTTATTGTGCCCGAGGTACTCATTGCATCTTTGTACGATTATAGGAAATATTTGCAAATACTCACATTGAGATTAGCTACATCTTGTAAAATTGTACATATACGTACATGATTTAGCTAACTTATAATCCAATTTGCAGATAAGTAATTATGCCAGTATAATATTCATTGCCCTATTCATCTCCATTGCTGCAACGGGTATCCTTGAGATGCAATGGGGTGGTGTTGGAATCGATGACTGGTGGAGAAACGAACAGTTTTGGGTTATTGGAGGAGTTTCCTCACATCTTTTTGCTCTCTTCCAAGGATTACTCAAGGTTTTGGCTGGTGTCAACACAAATTTCACAGTCACCTCAAAAGGAGGAGACGATGGAGAATTTTCCGAGCTCTATATCTTCAAATGGACATCGCTGTTAATTCCACCTACAACATTGTTGATCATAAATATTGTTGGGGTTGTGGTGGGAGTTGCAGATGCCATCAATAATGGTTATGATTCTTGGGGTCCATTGTTCGGTAAACTTTTATTTGCCTTGTGGGTTATTCTTCACCTCTATCCTTTCCTCAAGGGATTGATCGGGAAACAAGAGAAAATTCCCACAGTAATTATAATCTGGTCGATTCTGCTGGCTTCAATATTGACCTTGTTGTGGGTACGAATCAACCCGTTTGTTTCACGAGATGGACCAATACTGGAAATCTGTGGACTCAACTGCGACGACTGAGATATGTTTTGGGCAGCTTACGGACAGTTTTGCACGACCGGATATACAGAAGGTTGTTTGAGATATGTGTAGATATGAAGAGGTGGAAACTTAACTCATTCATAATTTTTGAAATGGCTCGATCGATTCTTTGATAAATACGCGTGTGGTGTCTTGTATCATTATTCCCCATTAAAAGGGTTTTTCAATACAATAGGCAAAAACTACGTAACTGTTCAGTATTTTCTTGTTCGGTGTGATTGAGGAAATGATTTTCAAGTTTCCAAGAACTGGAGACTTGATAGTTATGCTACAATGTGCCATAGCCATGGCTATACACCAACCATGAGACTGTAGATTGTGGTTATCAGGAATGTTAAATTGGCCGACACGAGCTGCTCATCTCGACCCACCGACGAGTCATCTTGCTCAACTGTAGTGCGACTTGGTTTGTCCCACGAGCTCGCCTCTTGCCCTCTTGGTGTGATGAGCTACTCGTGGCTCGTCAATAGTTCTTTTTCTAGTAAACGAAGATGATACCGGATTAATCATATACCAAATTGTTGGAGAAAATAAGAGATTATAGTCAGTAGTCACAATATAAAGTAATTAATCATAAAAATAAAATAATTTGTAGAGAATGAAGTTTTTATTATAATATGAAGAAAAAAATACAAAAAATTATGTTTACAATGTTTCTAACTTTTATTAAATTATAGTGAATAGTCAACTATAAATAGGGAACAAATAGAAAATGTCCAAACTTTAATAGTAGAGTTCTAGTTGAAGTAAAATACAAAAAGAGAGTTTCAAAACAGAATAGGAAAAAAAAAAGCATTACGATGACCTCAGCCCTGGGGGCTGGCATTGGGGCTCTTGTTCCCTATGGTCAATATTACACTGTCGACGCATAGCGCATTTTTCAAGTCCAACACAAATTACAATTCTCAACTGGGGGCTTTCAAGTAGAATTTCAACTAGAATTCATCGAGTAAACTTTAATAGGATTTCACATGGCATTCCAAATAGAATTCTTCTTAATACGTACTTTAATTATAATTCTCAAATATCTTTTACGACGAATTCGGGTCACACCCGAATTCTACCAATTTCCACATTGATACGAATTTCATTATAATGAACAAAATTTCAAAAGAAAGACTCTCTATCTAGAGATAAATTCCACTGTAAGAAATAAATTTAAACTTTTCAACGAAAGATATAAACGAACTTCTCCAGAAAAAATTTCTATTGGAGATATCATCCACATCTGCTATCCCAACTAGGGGCAAAAGTGATCTAATAACCACCAAATAAAGCTGAAACAACCTTGTAACAAAATCACAATCGAATGCATCAAATGAAGAATCTTAGCTAAAATCAACACCCTTAACCGCATTCAAACCATCAACTAAATCAGCAGAATCGTACTTATGCGAAGTCTTATGAGTTATGGCTAAAAATGGATCTGTTACTAGCAACTGAATACAATGACACCATCGATGATGGTGGCAAGGCAGATTTACCCATAACTTCTAAATTCAATTGAGATGTATTCTTTAAAGAAGACGCCAAATTAGACTCCAACGGTACATAATCCAACTCTAAATCGACATGAGTTCTTAAAATATGTTGATTGCTCAAAGATTCCATATAACACTGTAAGATATATAAATGAGATTTTCTATGTGCGTTTAACAAAATATGGGCTCATTTACTAATCTTCTGGACTCTACCTTCAACAGTATACTTGTACCCTTTTGAACTAAGAGTGCTCAAGGAGATAAGATTTATCTTTAGATCTGGAATGTGTCTCACTGTATCAAGTATTCTAACCATCCCATCAAACATCTTTATTCTGACATGCCATACCAACTATCCGATAATGTATATTATTACCGGTCATCACAACATCTTTTGTAATTTCTTCATAAGTTGAAAACAAATCTCGATTAGAAGTAATATGAAAAGTGCAAACTGTATCAAAAATTTTAGCCTTGTCGGGTTTGGAGTTGTAGTCAGACATAAATAAAAACTCTCCGTCGCTGTTAGGATTTTCAGCAATACTTGCTTCCTTGAGATTTCTAATTATTGATTTGCAGTCAATTTTGATTTATTCTACAACTTATAAGAATAGTTTATCAAGTGCCCCTCTTTTTATAATAATTACAAATTTTGAAGTTAGATTTTGACTTGCCCCCTTCAACGACCACCATTAACATTGAGGCAATTTTCGTGACCCTCATATGCAACAAAATACTTCATCTTCTTATTTGAATATAGAGGATTATAAACTTCTTCGATGGTGAAAGTATCAGGACTATATAAAATCATGTCTCTAAAAAAATGTATGAAGCAAGCAATGAACACTATAAAATCACTCCCAAATCTTCTTCATCCTATTTGATATTTAAGGTCTTCAAATCAGTGACGATTTCTTCAAAAACAATTCAGTGATCCTCAAGAGATATATCTTCTGTCATATAATGAGAATATAGCCGTCGCTTCATATGCATTTCTCTAGTAAAACTCTTCTTCATGCATAATTACTCCAATTTTAACCATAATATAGCTGTTGATTTCTCATTTTGAAGAATATTATTTGAAAGATGAAGATGAATTTGAGATAGGGTCTTTCAATCCCTATGTTGTTTCTCCTCCAGAGTCCAAGTTGTGGGCATATTGTTAAATTCCAACAATGTATCGTTCAAATCCATTTGAGCGAATACTACTCACATCTTTACCTGCCACAAAGAGAATCTTGTATTGCGATCCAATAGCGGAGTATCATATTTCATTTTTTCCATTACGAAAGATCAAGTTAAGTTGTGAACTCGATCAAAACTTCAATCTTTCCACGAGTTTCAAAACCAAAAGCTCTGGTATTAGTTTGAAAATGTTGTGAGATGAAAATGAAAATGAAAATGATATCGAATTAATCCAATACCAAATTGTTGGAGAAAATACGAGATTATAGCCACAATATGAAGTCACAAAAACACAAGAACAAAATAATTTATAGAGAATTGAAATTTTATTATAATATGTAAAAAGAATACAAAGACTTGTATTTATAATGTTTCTAACTTCTACTAAATCATAATGAAGATCCAACAATATATATGAAACAAATAAGAAACGTCCAAACCCTAATAGTAGAGTTGTAGTTAAAATAGAATACAAAAGCAGAGTACAAAACGGAATAGGAGAAAAAAATTGCATTACGGGCACTACGGTGTCGGCTCCCTATGTTCAATATTATACCTCGACGCCTAACCATAGTGACCCTGCACCTAGGTATTCCACCTCTGTGCCAAATACTCCTAAAGATATTTTTCTTCATTTCAAAGTCTTCTTCAAGTTCAACACAAATTCTAGGGCTGGACATAGTTTGGTTCAGTTTTGAAGAGAACCAAACCGAACCAAATTTTTTGAGTATTTAATAAATGGAACCATTGGGTCCAAACATAATTTTGGAATCATTCGGGTTCGATTCTGTTCGATTCCGTACCATAATTAAATTTTTTAACAGATTTTTAATGGTAAACGATCGATGGTCATGGTTGGAGGTCGCAGCTTCGATGGGCATTGGAGAGGGGAAGTCGAACTCAGCAGTCGGCGATTTCGATTTGGGCATGTAGATGTAGGTTTTCAATTTATGAAATGATTTGGGATCATTGACTCAGTAGTTACCGAATGAATGTGCGAAATTGAAAAGAGAATGATAAAAACTTAAAAAGACATAAATCTTGGGCTAAGAATGAAATTAATAATAGGATCAAAAAATTAAATCAAAAAATTGAATTTAGAAATTGTGTTGGGTTGGGCTAGCTGGGCATGGACTTTGATTAGGAGTTAGAATATTAATCACTAAATCAGTTAATTTGTTTAGAAAAAATTTAAAAAAATTAATTAATTCAATA